GGACCAGCAGCAACAGCAACAGCAACAGCAACAGCGGTAGCTTCAACACCAACACAGCAACCAATTTCGCCACCGGTGAAGCTACAATTCAATATCGACCGTTATATGGTGACGCCAATCAAGCGCCAGTTGTTAATGTAGTTAGCAATGCGCTCACCGAGTACAAGCGCCTGACAGGCAGTGGCATTAGCGGCACTGGTGGCGCCGGGGTATTGCCCAAGCGTGTGATGCTGAAAAGACGCAACGATAATGATGTCTTCGTCAAGGTTGGTTGGAAATAAGCAGAGCGCTCGCACCAAAACAACAGCAACATTTGAATTACATTTTGCTCCTTTTGCTTTCAGCCTGAATGCGGCTTGCCGCGTGCCACTCAGCGCACTCTGCAAAAGCGCATCATTGGCGGAAGATCGGCGAATTTCGCTGAATATCCATGGCAGGCGCATATACGCATTGCGGAATTCCAGTGTGGCGGTGTGTTGGTGTCGCATAATATTGTCGCTACGGCAGCGCATTGCATACAACAGGCGCGCCTGCAGGACATCTCCGTCTATTTGGGTGAATTGGATACACAGAATTTGGGTCATATACACGAGCCACTGCCGGTGGAGAAACATAATGTTATACTGAAGATTGTACATCCGCGTTTTCAATTTCGCATGACACAGCCGGATCGCTTCGATGTGGCGCTGCTAAAGCTGGCCAAGCCGACGGGATTTAGGTAAGAGTTGTGTATACCATTTTTGTGTGAATGTCATTGTCCGCGAGAAACAATCTTACTTCTGTACATTCCAGTGAACACATTCTTCCAATTTGCTTGCCATTATTTCCGATTGCTTTAATTGGACGGAAAGGTCTAATTGCCGGTTGGGGCAAGACAGAAGCAAGTATGGGCCATGCTGGTACCAATATGTTGCAAGTAGCCACGGTACCCATAATAAGTAAGGACAATTTTTTTTTTTAAAGTAAAAAATATGACATTAATATTTGAAATTATTCTCCGACCAGCGGCCTTTGATTGCTTACGCTGGCACGAAAGTAAACGCATCAATGTGGAACTCTATGGCGAAATGTTTTGTGCGGGCCACTCGGATGGGCATCAGGATGCGTGCTTGGGTAAGTTAAAAAAAAGGGATCAAAAAAGTACAGTAAAATCTCGATAAAACGAAGTTGAGTTGGTTATAATAATGCTTCGTTATATCTATAGTTTCGTTACATTTATAGAATATCAATACCTCAACGCAACTAAAATGCAAAATTTTGGAAAAAATCTTTATAAGTGGGTATAAGGTTTTAAGTCGAAACATTGTTAGACGGAGGTTAACAGCAGTCTGTTACAAATAGTTTGCTTGAAGTTAACTTCCAAATATTGCATACTTCTAGGCGCTCGTTTTGTGCTCCAACAGCTCATTAACTACAACGCTATTAGTTTGTTTTCTTACGAATTTAATTTGCTTTCTTTACCCCGTTATAGGCGATTCTGGTGGGCCACTAATTGTGAAAGAGCGTGGTCGTTTCATTTTGGTTGGCATCACTAGCGCCGGTTTTGGTTGCGGCGTCGATCATCAGCCGGGCATTTATCACAATATACAAACTACAGCCAAATGGATACAGGAGATGGTGGCGCGGCATGCTTGAGCAAGCACCAGTGGCACGCAGACAATTATCATCTCCCAATTTAGTATATTATTTCTTTAAAAAGTGCAATTCAATCTTTAATAATATTTACCTTTCAAATAATTTCTTTTTTGAAATTTTAGTCAGCACGTATGTATGTAGCTATGTATTTAGTTTAGTTTTCTTTTACTTGATTATTGCTAGTTTTATTTTAGTTACAAATTAAATCATATCAACAAAATCATCAATAGATCACACACATAGATATACTCATATGAAATTATAAAGAATGCATACTCTTATTTTAATAAATTAAATTCGTTTACAATAATAAAATTTCCTCCTTTCGTAAAGCTTCCAACCATTTGTAAAACTTTACCGGTTTCCATTCTAGAGGAATAATAGTATTCAGATCCTGAGTCAGTAAAGCATCCAGGGGCCCTGTCTATTACTGCATTCCTTGCTGCAGCAGCACGGCATTAAGGACCACAGTGGTGGCGATCCTCAGTTCTAACTACCTACTGTGGTTTTGTGTAGTTCATTCAATCAAACGATAACTCTATAAAGCATAATCGGTTTGCTGTAGCTTCGTAGTGCCGTAAAATTTGTTAAGAAAAGAAGGGTTTACTAACTACTCCCCACCTCGCCGTAAATAAGGTCTAAAAAATTTTACAAACAATTTAAAGGCGCTATGAAAGAATTATAAACAATGAAGCCATTTTTGGCACACAAAAAAAGGTAAATTGCATCAAAGATTCAACCATAAATATTTATTTTTGTGGTAATTTTTAATTTTATTTTGTAATGAAAAGAAAAGGTAAATCCCATAAAATCCATTCTCTACTACTAACGTTGGAAGTTCTTGCATCTGTAAGCAGCTCCACTATGTTTAAAAGCCGTTCCACTTTTTGTGAAGCAAAATGAAGAAGAATTTAGGGTTAACCCATAAACGGCAATATTACAGCTTACACAATAAAAATATTTCAACAGTTAATAAACACAAAAACATTTTTAGGTACTAATTTCATCACATACTAACTTTGGATGCATTCAAAGTAAGCCAAAAAAGTAGAAAAGTCGTTCTTTTAAAATTATGAATAAAGATTGTGTGCAAGTAAGAACTACATAACTTCAAATGTAAAAGTTTGTACAAATGCACGAACATATGACAAACGTCAGCATCATTTTGTATTTATTTGTTTGTATGTTACCTACGAAAATGAAGAAAAATGCCGCAGCGAGGAAACATTAACCAGAACAGTAAGCAATCAAATACTTCGCTGGATGCTCCATTTTTGATTTTATTTACTTTTGCTCTAAAAGCATTGGCCGGGTTATTTATTACACCATCGGCAGTTATGAAGCGCTGTGACCACTATATAATACTCATTATTGAACTGGTGATCTAAAACGGTATTAGTACCATCCATATCGGTTGATAAGCCATCAATCTATCTCTTTTATTAGGCAAAAGTCACAGCAAAATTAAAATAGTTGAGGTTGAGTTACCATCTAAAAATTATTTAGCAAATTTTTTTGGTAAAGCGATGTGACAAAGTAGCCAGGCACAGACTTATACACTTTACGGCAAAATCAATTTTTTTTCTGGGCACTGCACCAAACCATTTTTTTTTAAGAGATTGAGTCATAATATTTTTAAGTGTTGCATGAAAATAACTAAAACAGTAAAAATATGAGCGTGGTCTGCATTTTGCTTGTTTTTAAGTGGTATATAACTTTTTGTGTGCAAACTTATATTACAGGTCCCTTATAGCACTTAAAAATCAGTTCAAAATTTTGTTTGAAATATATGGTTTTTAATTTTTCGAAGATCAGACCTGTGACCCCTTTTAGCACCTGTAATATAAGTTAAGTGTAAGTATAAGTACGGTTTGGCTTTACTTAGCCTTCTTTGTTGGAATCGATTACAGCGCCAGTCTACTATTTTTTTGATAACAAAAGAGTTAAGCTACGAACTCATTTCTGTTTTTGGTTAGGTTTTTAATCAATTTCAGTGTTCAAGCCATTTTCGAAAGCATTTTATTAACATTTTTGTATTTGAATACCCTTGACTTGTAGAAATTTCTTCTTAAATAAAAAAAAAAACACAAAGTCTTACTGACCTAATTTCCCAACACTTCGAGCAGTGCGAAAAAATTTAGTTCGAAGAAACATAATACAAGTAAATATATGTAGATGTTTAATTTTGATTACTCAATTGTTCACTTAACTAAATGGCAAAATTACACTTCTGGTTGAGGTTTTTGGCGCAATACCCTGAACTAAAAAACGCTGGCGATGAAGACGATGCACAAGATTGCCGCTGACACAGAAATATAAGTATGTAACATATATAGTGCATGCATGTACCCAAAAAAAAACAACACACAAGCTAAGTACATACATGTGTGTAAATACAAACCATAGCAACACTTTTTTTTTTAACAACAAACTAAAATGCGCTGCATAACAACTCGATTGCATAATTTAGTGAGTATGAGTAAGTTCAGTCAAAAGCATCAAGGTAAAAGAGAGAGTGCGAGTAAGGAGCAAGCATAAATATGTATGCATGTGTAATGTAAGTGTCTGTGTATTTATTTAGTGCGAACGCCCGCTACCGTCAACCCGTCAACATCACGACAAACTGGCAAGCCGACTGCACACACAATTAGCTTGGGGTTAATGCAGCAATTTATGTCGCTCACTTAATTTTTGAGGCCTACAAACACCAACACATAAGCGGATACCAAAAAAAAACAAATACACACCTGCATACATTTAAATTTTGTACCTTTAAAACAATTGCTCCTTTCAGCGCTGCGGAAAATTTCGAACGAAATATGATTTTACTGCACTAGCCCATTTCTAAATAAAAAAAAAATTTATGAAAATTGTGGCAATTTCGTCATTTGGCTAATTTTCTGCAATTGCACAGCTCCACCAGTGAACTTTAATAATTTATTTTTTTCTCACATTTTCTATTTACTAATTCGCGTGTGCCATTAAAGGCGTCGAAGTGACATAATGTTTAGACAAATTGTGCCAGTATTTATGGTTGTCTTCAGCGCGTGTTTGGCCGAAGTGCTAAGTGTTTTGAAACGTTATTTTTTTTTGGTTAGGCAATGCAACAATAAAGCACGCAGTGGCCGTCGCTATCTCCATCTTTGTTGTTGGCCCCACTCTTGCGGTTAACAGCCGTTTTTTTCGTCTGCGCCATCGTAATATATAATTGAAAACAACAACAAACATTTCAAATGACCTTCAAATGCTTCCATTTTTTAATTTTTTTTTTGTTGCTTGTTGACACTTTTTTGTACTTTGTCGTATTTTCGTTTTGGCAACTCGTATCAGCCGATTGTAAAATGGTTGAGTGTCGTGATTAATGCTCGCTTGCGGTAAAGTGCGTAAACTGCCCAATTTGCGGTTCTACGACAGTTATTACAATATTAGTTCGAAATTATTTCTGCGCGCTAAGTACATACGATTTGGTATTTTTGTGGGAAGCTTGTGATTACAAAGAAATATAATAAAGTTATTTACGAGTACTGTAAATTTTAAAAGCTGTTATTATTTCCTTCAAAGTTCATTTTAAGTAATTATTACTTGCTGCTCAAGCAGAGCTGTCAGATTAGGTTAGGTTCTGTAGCAGCCCTTACCGGGCTAACTCATAGCTGCTTACATCTTAGCTCGGTTAAAGCAGAACAGCTAAGGAGATAATGCCTATCTAGCTACACCAGTAGGATTCAGAAAATATTGTTGATGACTCCCTGTGTGGATTTATATTGGACACTTCTCAGTCAATATTGCTGGGTATATTAAGATTTAGTCATTAGACAAGATAAGAGCCCGCCGACGGTCCACCAGAATCTAGAAATACCTTCCAACTACATACTAAATCAAAGTTTTCGCACATTGCTCCTCGAACCAAGTTAGCACTGAACTGTCTAAAGAAATTCAGCAGGAGAAACGATCTTAAGCGTACATATCTTGCCAACTCATCAGATGAAACTTTTATTTGTTGTTTCCTTCTAAAAATCAATTCGAATATACGCAAATCTACCTTTTTTGAAGTATTCAAATGCGACCAAAAGGGAGATCAGGAATTTTCCTCTCAATTTTTATCGTGTTCTAATCAAAACTTAGGCCCTTTTACTGCTTGCATATCAAAACAAATACTAACCCACTGACTTTTCTAAAAAAGGTCAAAATTTTCAAAAATTTCTCCTCAGCCTAGTAGCGGAAGGGACTATGACAGCTTTTCCTTCAATAGCTACGACTAAAGCATTGAGTAAAGCAACTAGAGCATTAAGTAGCCGGGGATTGCTCAGAAGTGTTCTACTGATTGCACTCCAATTGCTTAAATAATTCCGTCCTCTCTAACAATTTTTGTCAGCTAAAGTTCAAACAAAATAATTGACTTATTTAAGGTAAAATAAAGCCAATAAGTTACTTTCAGCAATGGGCTCCATCTTCTATCAACGGTGCTCCTGCAGCAATTCGGAGCCAATGATGTCTTCTCTTTTTGGTAACTTCAATATATTTTCAATTTCTGTTGCTTGTGACTGTCCTATATGCAGGAAATCAAACCTTTAAACTGTAAATATGATTTTTTAAAACCAACAAAACTCAACTAAGCTAAGCAGTAACGAAATAAAAAGCAATACGGATATGCGGTTGAGTAACTTAGCTAATTGTATATTTCTTCGTTTGAGAGTGGGTGTAAACATGGCTATAACAAGGAAGGAGAAACGGAAGTACATAAGGAGAGAATAAATATGATAGGTGGTTGCTCGTCAAAAAAGAGAATGAGAGACTGCGTAGGTATGAGAGCAATAGACTCAGCTCTCTTTGATCTACACAAGATTAAATAGTGGAATTTTCGCAAAGTATTTAATTTACTTATGTTAATCGTTATAGTAAAAAAATAACCGGCAATAATAAAATCAGAAGAGATTCTTTTGGGACAAAATTTGCTCAGTCGGAGCATATATGGTGTTCGTTAAAGAATAAACTATGATTTTATAAAAAAGAATTAATTTTACCATCAATAAAATAAATAGTCTAAGCTTGTTAATATGTAGGTGACGTATAGTCACGATAAGCACTATATTGTGATGTGATAAAGTTGTCCGCCTTTATTTGGTGGTTCTACTAAACCGATTAAGGAACCAAAAAACTATTGCAAAGGTAATTTTCTATAGACGACAAGGGTTTTTCCATGTCTAAATTTCCATATTTGTACATTTTTTTTTTTTTTTAACACGAAGGAGAATAGGAAGATGAACCCGAAGACAAATACCGAAACAAAGAGAAAGTCAAACACGGATACGAAAACAAGTAAGAACAATAACACATGGACGAATAGGAAAACAAAAACGAAGACAATTTTTAGACGATTACGAAGATATATACGAATATGCAAAGTGTATAAAACTAGGGACTAAAATTAAGATGAGAAACCCTTTGTGATCTTTAAAAAAACCATCAAAGCGGAAAACTTTCATCATACACAGGAACTCTTAGTTTTTATTGAAGCTCAAATAGTCATTGAGGCAAGACACAAAGTTGTGTAAGGTATAGAAAACTAGCTGATGAGCTAGCCAAAGCGGATGTTATGCTATGCGCCTCACTAGCGATGCTTAAGTATACCAGATACTCCACAAGGATCCAACGTTCTTGCGATCTGCTCAGGCGGGGTTACAAAGGATACTTGTAGATCATACTATTTGTAGAAAGCTTAACGATTTTAATTGGCAGTTAAATTTTGGCGAAAACTTTAGGCGATCAGAACTTTTCCTGCAGCTTACAATTATCAAGAGACCACTTTGTGTTACTAACAAAAGACTTGAGAAAAATTTACCGGTTGACTGACATTGGATTTCTTTTTCTATTAGAGATGGCGATCGATTATTAGCTATTTACACCTTTCTCCGAGAGCGTGAGTGCCAGAGCTCTGTATTATTTTTTGGCTCTCCGCAGTATATGTAAATATGTAACTAACATGCCAAAATATCAGCCCACAACATCTCAGCAATTAACGCTGTGATCACAAATATTTGCACACTCATAATGCTGTGGCTTTTTACTATATTTATTTCCTCCAATAGATTTATACTTTTATGGTTTCTTTGATGAAAAGAGAGTACCTTCACACACACATAAACATATACATTTACAACCAGCAAATAAACGGTAACTAAAAAAAATCGCTGCATTGCAGTCTCTGGCGCTCATTTTATGACAATCGTAAAGTAAAAGGCAACCAAAAAAATATGCGCATGCGCGTATGCCAAGCAAAGCGGTAACGCAATCGCGAAGTTTACATTTCACTTTCGATTTCGTTGGCTGTTGCGTGACTGTGACTGACTGCTGCAGCAGTGGGAATGATGCGGTGGCCAGCAGTCAAGCGTGAGTGAGACGCATACCGCGCAGTGATGATGGCCAAAAGGTAAATAGTGTACGTTTTTTTCTGTGGGTGTATGTGTGTGATTGTAAATCACTTTTATTTATTTTTTATTTTTTGCCTCGGAAACCACAATCAGTGTCTCCGTTCCAATTTCGTTTGTTGATACCTCACCTCAATAAAATACTTTTTAACTCTCTCAATTTCAAGTCGAATTTTTTTTTTTAATTTTGATTTCATCTGAGCAATCGATCTGTTGCATAGCTTTGCGCCAACTCTCTGCAAATGCTGGCTGCATACTCGGCATGCTCGTAGATAAGTATGTATGTATGTCGATATGTGTGCGAGCGTGTGTGTGGCTCATATGTGATTTTATGTGGCATTTTGGTTTTTGAAACTTCGCGCGACACTGTTATTAACCGTTTAGACATTGACGCGCGCGGCTCGTACTGCAACACAACACATTCATGCGGTGTGCACGCCTGCAAAACTATTACGAAATAAAACGCTAAAAATCGATTGCAAAACGCATACGAAAACGACGGGCGACGGTCATTGAGTTTGTAATCAGGAAGTTTACATTTCGATGTTTGAGTTCACAAAAAAATAATACTATTTATAGAAGTATGTAGTTAACAAAAAACAAAAATATTTTAAACAGTTTCGGTATTACCAGTGTGTCATTGTGTGTTTATTTTTTATAAACCAAAAAGAGCGTACACTTCATAATTGCAGCACAGTGAGTCAGCTTAAATCAGTGGCAAAGCTAAATTAAATATACCAAAAATTAGCTATGCTGTGCTACTTTGTAAAATATGTGAATTATTAAATGCCGAACATCGTGGAAAATTTTGTCTTGGCATCCTCACGCACAAAAAAAAATGTGCGTAGGTACTCGTTTCCCATTTACTCTAAATGAAATCAAATTGCATTACTTATGCAAGTAGCGCAATCCAATTTAAGCAACATCAGTGCATTTAAAAGTGTCGTAAAAGAGCGAAAGAAAATACAAAAAATAAAAATAAAAAAAAAAATAATAACAATGAATGCACAGCGAAAAGAAAAACACGAAAACAAAAGCAATTATTAGCAAAGGAAGCAAACATAAATATATATATTTCCGTTCAATTATACCGGTTGTTACTTTATTAAGAAGTGAAAAAAAAAAAAAAAATTGCTAAATTTCGAATTAGCCAATAAAAAGAGTTGAATTTCAATTGTGAAACGTAACATTCTCAAGTGCGAAGCCAAAGACCCGAGGAAATAAAAGAAAAATAATTTAATAAAATTCCCTTTCGGGTTCACCAATTCCACCAATTTGGTTTTGTGGCTGCGTGTTTTTTCCACCTGTCACATAATGATTTTGCTTATAGGCAGTCTTCCTGCTACAGTTAAGCTGCCACTGAAAGCAATAACGTTCTTTTTACTCCTCCATTGCATCGGTTTTGCGTATTGCGCGGATAAAACTTATAATAGTGTCTACAATGAAGTTGTTACGCCGGATTTAAAGAATGCGATTAAGAAAGAGCTGCCGAAAGAAGCCAAATTCTTCGACGAGTTGGATTGTAAGTAAAAACAAAGTACAAATATGTTCATAATGGGGCGTAGTATAAGAAATGCAAGTATGTCTAAATGTACTCAAATTTAAGAAAAATTTAATTATCAAACTTGAACTTCCCTAACGGAATTTATGCAGCATTTAGGTTTAGCAAATTTTCGAATGTAAGGCTAGCGATAGAAAACAATTTTACGAGGCTCTGTCTTTTGTGACTTGGTTCGTTACACCTTTCGTCCGATTGACAAGCAAGCCCTTTGTTTTCAAGATCAGTACTGATAATGCAGCACGTCTTATTGTAGAAATGTGATATAATGCCACAATCCATGGTTGGTTATCTCAGCCAGTTCTTGTATCGAACGTTTTAGAACTGCTTTATGGCAATCTAAAGGCACTTGGACAATGGGTTGTGGTCAAAGTTGACCTCTTTTGTACAAGGGTAGGCACTCAAAGTGTTACAAAATTAAAAATGCTATAAGTTTGTGTATTTGGCTTCTTTTTATTCGAAAACATCAATTCAACATAAGAAATAGTCAAAGTTTAATAAAAATGCTTCACAGAATGCACGAATGTGGTGTGGTGGTATTTTGCCTCAGTACAGCGATGAGCAATATTCATGGCGTTGATTGTTTTATATATTGATACTTTGGCCTTGAGAATGGACCATAAGGAAAAAATCCTTTGGGTTTAAGTCCGGTGAATATCGTGGTCATTGTTGCGAGGAAATGAAGCTGAAATTTTCTTTATAAAAACGTTGGAAATTTCCAAAAATTTCTATCATATTATTTTCGCGCCCAATCAACAACGAACCAATTGTAAAAGTTTCATAACCGGCCCATTTAGGCGTAAGTGTGACTCCATCCGGCACCTTATTGAGGATAGCAATTATGATTATGATATATTTTTTTGAGTTCAATATTTTTTTTTTTGTAGTTTTTTAAAAGTTGTAACATCCTTAAGTAAAGGTCTGCTCAAACTTGTGAATGAGGGATAAATTTTTATTCTTTATTCAAATAATTCCGAATATCAAATAATTTTTTATTCTTCATTTAAGTAATTCCTAATAACGGATCTGCGCCTGCTGGAACGAGCTTTAATAATTTCTGACGTTCGTAACGAAAAACCATACAGCGCTAGTTGATTTTGCAAAACTACAAAATTTTTAATTTCATATCATTCATTTAATTTCTTTATAATTAATAATTAATTCTGCTATACTCTTAAAGAACTACACCAGTATTTAGAATTTTCGCAGGCAAGCTTAGAGTAATGTACTGACATCGAATCTTTAGGTTTCAGTAAAGCTAGATTATCCTTGTAGATGGAGAACACCGCTTTCAATAGATAAGCGTTTATGTTACGCACAGAACACATCTCTACACAATTGCAGGCAGCCACCTGTTGCCTCAGCTCAGCAAAATCTTGGCTTACTTTTTATAGCCGCTTCATTCAGTTGGGTAGCGTATTACAAGTACTAAAGCTATTCGCTTACCATACCGATTACAAACTCAACTAGGTTACATCCAATTATATTCAATGTTAAAATGATGCATTCCGTAAACTAGAAAGTAAGCGATGATCCGCTAAAAACATATTCACTGTAGTCCTTTGATTTTTATTCATGTAAATAATTTCCATTGTGGTTGTTCTTGTTTCCGACAGGGTGGGTGTACTTATGATATATTTTGGAACGAATTTCCGTCATCCCTTGTCAAATTTGCTTTGCAGACAAATCGGCTTCGGCGTTGTAAATAACTATTTGAATAGCAAAATCGAAGAGAAGCATATTTAAGTCGACAAATTCCCAATGAGTCAGTTCAAATGTTGCAATGTCAAAAATGCTAATTAAATGCCAATTAAAACAACCGAAATATTGCAAAATACACAATCGCATAAGTTTTATAAGCATACATACATACATAACTAACTCCAACTATACACGCATACCATTCTTAGCGTAGAGGTCAAGGCTGAGTTGCTCAAAATAAAGCTTAAGGCGATTACAATGACAAATCAATAATGAGACAAGCGCACGATAACCAAAATGAAAAAAAAAATATGCGCAGACACAACTCATTCGACCTTGATCTTCGCTTAACTTTTGGTTGTTACGCAAGCTACTTCGGCTTTTGACATTTGCGATGAATTATTTTTATGTATGTATGCAGGTACTATATAATAACATATGTACATACATAGCCATTGTCGATTGGTTGAGTAATGAATTTCCTTATAAATTTCAAGCGATTAAAAATGAAACTATTTCAATGGCAAAGTAAAAAATCAAAAAAAAAATTTTTATAAGTAGGTACATTAGGGCGGGTTAATTTTTTATTTTTTTGAGTAAAGCGTGTGAGGATTCTACATGAAATTTTAAGCAAATTTTCCAAAGAAACTGGGGGTCCAAAATCAATTTGAAGTTTACCAAATTGCGAAAATAAGTTTCGAAGAAACTGTGAAAACTTTCACTACTGCGACCTCTGGTGGAAACTTTATGAAAATAATAACTGCATAAATGGAATCGACATACTAAAAATCCTTTATAGCGTATTTGTATAAAACGTTTAAGCCCTTCTTTACGATGCTTCGGCAAAATGCTTGGAAACCTATTTTCTCAATTTGGCCAACTCAAATTTGGTTTTAGACCAGTGATTTCTTCAGCAAATTGGCTACGAATTACACGTAGAATTCATCTGTGCTATACGCGCATAGTCAAAAAACTCGCCCATACAAATTGACCCGGCCTAACATATATAGTTTTGTTTAGTGTATAAAGTTTTCAATTTCCCTGTAATTTAAAATATACTGCACTAGGTAAGCCAGAAAGACACAACTACAAATACATAAATACGTAAGCTTCATCGCCTCTACCAGCTAAATATTTCATACTGTTTTTTACAGAAAGTGCCAGTGTAGCACACGGCGAGGGCAGTTTAAAAAAAGTCGAGTTTACTTGGTGTTTCGAGATCACTTCACACAACACGATATGGAAACATTTGCACTGTTAAACTTCATAGAAATAAATTAAGCACTCCACTAAGAGAAAGCGCTTACTTTCGGCTTCAATGTTGTTTTCACAAAATATTTTTAACGCATAATCAACCATAAGATGGTAAAAGTATTAAAATGTTTGCCAAAAATAAGCGTGCAAAATTGTAGCCGGTAATTAAAATCTAAACTAACAAGCTGTGCATGAGAATATTTTAGAAGCTGCATAAAAGTGAAAAGAAGCAGATTTCTTACATATATGCATTCTCATAGACCAGACCAAAAGTATGTATGCAAGTGAAACAGAAAATAATTGGCAAGCAGTAAAAAAAGCTCAAAAAGCTAACCGACATATACATAAAAAAAAAAAAGTGAGTGAGTTTTTTTGCAGGGACATAACAGTTATAAGTTTTATCGCAACAACGTTGTTTCATAACAGTTATTAGATGTGAAATATTTTTTGTTTCGTAGACCCAACATTTATTTTTTACGTTAACTGATAAACCTTGTAAGAAAAGGATATTGATGAAGAAAGATATGGAGAAAACGCTGAAGACGATGAAACTAAGAGTGATCCTACTCATATCAGACCACATAAACAAAAACGTCAGACAATAACTGTTATTAAGCAATATAAAAAATAACTCTTATCGGCGACATCAGAGTACGCATATTTTTTGCGCTGACTCTATATACTCCTGGATTTTTTCCCCTTTAATCGAGAAAACTTTTGTATACATATAGTTTTAGTGCTGTAGGAATATGATCCTTGCCCGCTAGGTGTTGAACGCTGTGCGAGATACATTTCTAACATAAAAAGTGGGAAGGAAAAAATTTTGAATCTTACCGAGAATTCCCGCCCAAACCTCTTTCCGTTCCACATTAAGGACCGAATAAATATGATATATGCCCGTACGCAATATGGCTAGATTCGGATACCAGGGGAACTTTGAAGCTAAGCCACTTAACCCTGTTAAAGCGGATCTCTTTCGGTCCAGACTAGCTAATTTCAGCTGGACATCATAAAGATGTTTCAAGGGTTTAACTGTAGATCAATAACAAGGTTACCTGTAGCTTCAGGAATATCAAGATCAGGGTCAATAAACTCGCAACTGATACTCTGAGCGAGTTTTTTGGCATTAAAATCTTTCAATTGGTCAGTAAGTTTAATTAAATCTAAGTTATAACTGCTATATTATGCATTATTTAACCGTTAAATATATTTGTAAAATTATTTGAAAATTTCCCAGCCCACCACCCTATTAAAAGCGCTTATGTAAACAAATGAAAATAATCAAACAAATCCGGAACTGAACAGGTGCTGCCAGTTTTCACACTCCACCATGGCGAAATGCCGGATAATTGAGCGAACCGACAAAGAGAAGTTTACTCATAAATTTCAAATTTTTTAATTACTTTTTAAGAGAGATATATTAATGCCTCTATTATAGTGCTTAAACAACGATTTTTCTATTATCAAGTTTTATTTAGTTACTTCTCCATTCATTTTCCTCTTACTTTAAATTTTTTTCAATCATAAAAATTGTAAAAAAAAAATCAAGTGGCTTCGCCTCCCAGCTAGCTAGTTGTACATATATTGAATTTTCCAAAGTTATTCCAAATAAAACTCCCCAACAGCAATCAAACGACACGCAATGTCTAGGAAAAGAAAATAACAAAAGTTGCTTAAATTGCTGAGAAAAAAAAAGCAATTGCAAGTTCAATGCCATGCAACTGTTAAGTTTGAAATAAAGAAAAAACGCAGGCGTAGGCAAGTCTTGCAAGGAAAACCGGCGTTGCTCAAAAGCCATGTGCAGTACATATACATACAAATATTTAATAGAGTGACTAAAATAACAACAATAACCGTAACAGCAACTACACAACTGCACCAACTGTTACTTGTAACTAAAAGCGGTTGTGACAACCAATAAACGCAACTGGTAGTAATAAATCGGTCGCTTTTTATGTATATCCCAACAAAGCGAATGTGGAAGTGCCTGCCGCCGCATGTGGCAGCAA